ATCATGCTTAGACAACCAGGAGATAAAGACCTTATGCAAATGCTGGCAAAATGCCACTAGGGATAACTTACAGCAAAAGAAAATATATTTTAAAGGAGACTTTTACAATATCCAATTGACATATCTCCTTGTCTTTCTTTGCTTGTACCACACTCGGATTTCCAGAGATGCCAAGTGAATAACTATCACAGGGCAGTAATGCAAGAGCAACTGTATTTTCCAGTTGCATTTTAAGTTTTAACTACAGCGGTACATCAAATTGTAGGTTGACACTAAATGATAGGACACTGGGTACATGATGATGCAGAGTGCAGTTCTGCCTTTCACTGATGTAACACCTCAAGAATCTAGCGTAAAACTTTCAAAACCTCCTAAAGTAATTTAAGCATAGTCAAAAGTGACTTAAGGACAGTGGGAGTCAGGTGATTAAATATCTTAAAATTTGGGCCGTAGGTACTTGGAATCCTAAGATGCATTAGCTTTCAGTAAAACTTAGGCTCCTAACTGCCTAAAAGCCAGATTTTAGACGTATTTAGGTACCTAAAAATGCAGCTACACCTAACGCCTATTGGGTTCAATGGGAGTTAGCACCTAGGTGCTTTTGAGATCCTAATATCTGTTTCTTTAGGCATAAATACCTTTAAAATTTGTTCCTAAATCACTTTGAAAAATGGGATTTAGGCCACTAAACCAGATAGGTGCTTTTGAAAAAATTACCCTTAGTCAAAAGCCACTTTTCCCCTAACTCTTTTCTCTCTTAGGAGGCTTGTGCGGTTTTATATGCAGATAAAACTCCCTTTACTTGCAGAGAATAGTTACTAGCTGTGTTTCCCACAAGCCAAACTTCAAGCTAATTTGTCTCTTTGACTGGGCTGGACGGTACAGATTGAATTTAGATATGGAGGTAGGATCCACTTAAAGGGCAAACGTCTCCGACCTGGTTTCCACAGCTGGTCTCTGCTCTGATAATGTGGTTTCTCTGCTGTACATGTGTAGAACTATCACTGATATCAATGCAAGTTCAATTCACGTATACAGAGCACTGTCTCAGAGTGCAGATCCGGTATTGATCTGCCAGAAGAACTTCGTTCCTTGTAGCTGGCTAGTTATCAAAAGAGGGGTCTTGATAATCATTTGCCAGCAATTCTCTACTTTATCTGCAAAATATGTCTGACTGTTACCTGAATGCTTGTAACGCACGCAAACCATGAAGGAGGGGAAGGCTCAGTCCTTGGCATCGTATTTACTGTACATATGAACATTTTAAATGTTGCCAACAGCAAGTCCTAACCGCTGAGTCTTTATTTGGCATCAAAGAATTTGGGCTACCTGTCAAATTGCACGTTTGGTATTTGAAAAATGTGTGTCAGGAGAGGTGTTCTATTCTGTTTGTTTACCTCAGCTGCAAAGGATGATAGCAAATGATCGCATCGCAAGCCTTTATTTTGCCCTGGCGCACTAAACATAGACTACTTTATCAGCCGTCCCTTCTCACAAAGAAGAGCTTCATGTGTTGTGGCTCCATCTGGCAGGAAGCACAGGGATTATTTTTTATCGTTTTTATCACATGTAGTATAGTAAGCAGCAATATTCACTTAAAAGACCCTCATCAGTCAGAATGCTGTGCCCACTTCTGGTGTCCATGCTATAAAAAAGGATGCTGAAAAACTGGAGAAGGGTCATAGAAGAGCAACAGGAATGATTTGGGGTCTGGAAAACCTGATTTATGATGAGAGACACAAGGATCTCAACCTGTTTAGATTATACAAGAGAAAGTTAAAAAGTGGCTTGATCGCAGTCTGCAAATACCTACACAGGAAAAATAGCAGAAGAGAGCTGTATAATAGACAAAGGCATAACAAGGGGAGTATAATTAAGCGCAGACAGTTATGGAAAGAAGCATGTCTTGTATTTCTTTGTATCCTGTCAATCCAGAGGTTTAAGAAGCTGGGGACTTTCCATTGATAGCCACCAGAGGGCACTGTAGGCTAACTGTTGAAAAACACACACCAAAGGCAGTAAAATGGGGAGATAATATAATAGGTCTTTCCTTTCTCGCTCTATTCCATACCCAATTCACTTGTCTGGCTCCTTGTTAAACAAGCTGAAGTAATGGGCCTTCCATGATTGAGTGCATCTCCCTGTCAGGAAGTTCTGCACTGGTGACCAGAAAACTTGCAACACCATTGAGCTACTCCAATTCTAGGCCAAATTACTTTCCCTCTGGATGAACTCTTGGGTTTATCACTGTCAATCATGCTTTATAAACAGTTTTAACATACACACAATAGCCAAGGTTTAAAAACAATGATTGACTAAAATTACACTCCTAATTCCATATTTAGGCACCTAAACAAGTGGCTCGTTTTTCAAATACTTACAAAAGCCATGTTGACTCATTCCCAAAAAATTGTGTTCATCTATGTGTCTGATAATGCTGTTCTTTACTAGGGTTTCAACCAGTTTGCCTGGCACTGAGAGCCCCAGGAATATACATAGCTGGTCCAGGGTCAGCAACGAGTCCTGGAGGCGACGGACAGTGGCCTGAGTAAACTGTCAGGGCCTGTAATGTGGGTTGTCTGCACTACCGATTGGAGCCTGGAGCCTGAAGTAGAGTCGGTGTCATGGTTCGGAGTCACACCAAGGATCACAGCTGGAGTGAGAGGCCGAAGCCACACCAAAGGTTAAACCAGAGTCAAGCTGGAGTCAATAACTGGAGTTAGCACAAGGAAGCAGGACCAAGAACAAGGAACAAGGTGAGGTGACAAGAACAAGGAGGAGGAACCAGGCAAGGAGCAGCAACTTAGTCTCAGGGGTCTGGTCAGCAGCAGGCCTAGTGTTGCTCAGATAAGGGTCTGGCAGGAACAGGACACTTTATGCTAAGAGATGTCCAATCCGCAGTCTGTGTCAGCTGATCTCACTGAGACAGTGGGTGTAGCCTCTGTTTGTGGGGTGGCAGCTGCAATTTCCTTGTCCAGCCCTGCAGCACACTGGCACAGACCCACAGCTCCTGACACTATGTAGGGCTCCCACAGTTCTTGATTTGAGGTCTCTACAGATTGTAAACTGGTTGGCTGGTGTACTACTTGCAGGGCCTTCCAACTGCTGTTACTGAGTGTGATGCTTAAATGTGATTCATTACCAAGGCTTATGGTGGATTCTCCATCCCTGACAATTTTAAAATCAAGAATGGGTGATTTTCTAAAAGATCTGCTCTAGGAATTATTTTGGGGAAGTTCTATGGCCTGCATTAGACAGGAGGTCAGACTAGATGACCCCAGTGATCTATGAATTTAGAGGCGATAACCTTTTCAGTTTCTGCTCTGCAGCAAGCTAGGATATATTAATTGGGAACTTATACTGCATGTAGGTACTTGATGGGGAGTTCAGTGAATATAACAAGGAAGGAAACAGCAAAGTGTGTTTCAATCTTCATAAAGGAAACATGTCCAAAGAGCTCAAACACATGTTCTTCAGAGAGAGGTGCCCTGGAATTACATCACGCTTTGGCAATAAATCTCCAGGATAATCTTGGAAACAGGACATTTAATCTCCATGGAAACAGTTACATCTTTTAAAGAATATTAATAATAAGCATTAGATCCAAACCCTTCCCCCTTCTTGATGGGAATGGAAGGCATCCCGAAGTACTGCATAGGATGAGGCCGGGAAACTATGTAGAGAGGCTGGATTTCTCCATGGGTTACAGAACACAACTCCATGGTGGTACCCAGGGGTGTGGTGCACAGTTGCTCTGCGTGAGGAAGGCAGGCAGGAGACAGGGCAGATACGTTGATCCTCCACCCCGCAGTGGAATGGCACAAGCACTGAAGAGGTCACTGCAGCCCTTAGATTGGAGAAGTGGCTGCAAAGTGGATACACTGTAGCTCTGCTGTCTTCTCCTCTCCCATTGTGCCTGTAGAGATTCACAGCCCGTAGCTGAGTTATTTGATGTAGGAAGGCAGGTAGGAGGTGGGCATTGGGGCTTATATGGGGTTTCAGCTTCAAAAGGCTTTACTGACATTAAAACATCTTCAGCATCCCTGTGAAGTGGGTGACTGATACTCCTTCCTACTTTACAGATGGGAAAACAGAAGCTGTGTGCTTTAGACAGGAAGGTGTGGACTCAGGAGGTCTGGGTTCAGTTCCTGATTCTGCTACAGACTCTCTATTTGATCTTGGGCAAGTTTCTTACCTTCTCTGTAACTGAGTTGCCTATCTGTAAAATGGGGCTAATGACACTTCCTTTCCCTCATCTTTTGTCTTGTCTACTTAGGGCTTGTTTACACTTAAAATGCTACAGCCTCATAATTGCACCTGCACCCAGGGCTTTGGAGCTGTGCTTTGGCTCCACTCCAGCTCCAGGCAAAAACCTGCAGCTCCACTGCTCCGGAGCTGCTCCGCGCTCCAGCTCCGGGCTCCGCTCCAAAGCCCTGCCTGCACCACTGTTGTGCTTCAGTTTAGACACTATCTTCGCCAATGGAAGGGGCTCCTCCTGTCAGCATAGGTAATCCACATCCCCGAGAGGCGGTAGCAAGGTTGACGGAAGAATTCTTCCATCAATTTAGCACTCTCTGCATGGGGATTTAGGTCAGCTTAACTACGTCACTCTTGGGTATGGATTTTTCACACCTCTGACCGATGCAGTTAAACTGACCGAATTGTCTAGTGTAGACCAGGCTTCTTCAGAATAGTTTAGGTCTCTTACTATGTTTGTGCAGTGTTTAGTACAATGGGAACATGATCCTGGTTAGTACCTGTAAGCCCTACTGCAAAACTTCTCTAGGCCAGCAGAGGGAGTCAGAGTGAGGCTGAGAGTTCTTGGTTCAGCATTACCAGACCTTTATGCAGAATCAATATACACCTTAAAAGCAAACAATGGTTCTAGCCTGGAAAACAGAGTTAATATAAAATGATAGCATTCTGCTGGCAATAATTCACTCCATACTTCCATGAAGTTTACAAGGAACTTATCATGTAAACAGTAAAGACAGCCAATGTCAACTCTTTTGAAGAAATGTTTATTTAACAACTGAATACATGCTAAAAGAAATAATTTACAGCAGCAGTTTCATTACATTTTTCTCTCCAGTTTTCTAGTTCCCGTCTGAATTGCAGTGATAAATACGGAAGTAGAATTATTTACTACCCAGTGAGGAATGTGCTTACAAAGTGGCACATAACTTTGGCACCGAAATAGCAAATAAACCACGCTATAAACTGTGCGACAAAACCTTGCAATTTAGTCTTGTGTTGAACACATTGAAATGGAGTACCTCTAGATAGCAGTACTTTATACTGTACCTCCTTACCCTAGTCAAAAATATTTACATCTCTTTTGGCTAATGTGTAGGTAGCAAAAACTGAACTATTAAACACATACCATTGATATTCACTAAATAATACATAAAAAAGGATCCGTAAATGCGCATTCACATGCATTTTAATTTTTTTTTTACATAGTGACTTCATTTGGGCCATCAAAGGTTAACTCTGTTCTGCAAATATAGCTTGATACTGTAGTTTAACATAACCATACAGTCATTATGAGCTATTGAACTCCCATCTGCAGCGGTCCATGCAAATGCCAAGGGTAGTTTAGTAAGACGATATAAAAAAAATTCTTGCAAATTTCTATCTTTAAACACATTTCAATAGTGTTTCCTGGTTATAAACAAAATCCTTTATTTCTCTCCACCTTAAATATAACCTTCTACTTGGTTCACCTAAAGCTTGGAACTGGAGGTTTAGTGATGTTTTTGTTGGTGATTTAAAGTGATGGTTTCCTTTTATTTGCAACATTGTGACATATAAAGAAAAAATACAAACAGGATGTGTGTAGGTCAAAATTGTAGGTCATCCTTCTATGAACAAATTTGTCACAGCCGATGGTCTTTGAAAACAGTTCATTTAAAATAATATCAGATGCTGTTGTAACTCACGCAAATTCCTGTTTGAGTGCACTCTGGTTAACATCAACCTGAAAATCAACTGTTTCATCTTTGGGTCTGATCCTTTCAGCCTTTCCTTATGCGAGTAGATGCACAGACTTCAGCGGACTGATTATGTCAAGGAGTGTACGTGTACGTTGAAATCTGCAGGGGCTGACCCTTTTATTTGTATAGTTAAACATTTATCATATGGCAAAACCGCCTGGCTGCTGTAATTTTGCTCTTACAGAATGAATTATGTTTTACAGAGAGGTTTTTTTTTCTGTGAAGGAATGCCAGTTTTCAAATGTAATCTCTAATTAATCTTCTTTTCAATAGGCTGTTATAAAAAGGAACACAGTTGAGGGGAAAATAATAAGTGACAGTAACCATGAAACATACAAAGCAGCAGATTGGATCATTTGGGGCCCATTGAAGTCAGAGCCTTTCCTTTGATTTCAGTGGGCTTTGGAAGTCCTCTTTGCTAAAGGGGAAAACATTTAAAATGATTTTAATGACTTGGTGATACAAAGTAGCCTTAATAGGCCGAACAATGATCTATAAGTACAACAAAATACTTCAGCTGATAAGCTGCGATGAATTTTAAACACTTAGCTGAGAAATTAATGCTCATGTAGGATCCTGATACAAGAGAGCTTGTAAGCACATGCTTAAACATGTGCTTAAGTTCATCATATTCAGCACAGCATTTGCACATGTTGCTTAATTTTAAGCATGCTTAAGTCCCATAGAAGTCAAGTTAAGCATATACTTCAGTGCTATGCTGAAAAGAGAAGGACTTACGTGCATGCTTTCAAGTTAAACACGTCATTTCTTTGCTGAATCTGGGACTTATAGAACCTGATCCTGCATCATTTAATGGAGTTTTGCCACTAAGTTAAATGGTAGCAAATTTGGATGCTTTAGTGCATTTAGATCCCATGAGCCCTCCATGTTCACAACATCTCTGAAACTGATTCAAGTTCCACACAGAGGGCTTGTAGGATTGGGCCCTTAATGAAAACCTCATTGCTACAGATGTTAGAAACTATACTTCACTAATTAGGAAGAAGAGTTGTGTTTTTTTGTTTTGTTTTGTTTTTTTATTGAGTGGTAAAGAGACTTGGATCACGTTGTGAGAGAGGCTGTGCGACAGCAGGTTGTGTTGCACTGTATGCATGAATGCAGATAATATTGTGAATAATAAATGCAGCAAGTTGCAGTGAATAACAGTAAAAGAGGCTGGTTATTAACCTCAGAACAAGGGGCACCCTTTTATAAAGCTGTTATAGCAAACCAAGGATATCACATGGGCTCTAGTAATCTCCTCCTCACCGACATGAATCGAAGTTATGCATATGCCACCAGGCGTTTGCAGACCATAGTGAGATGAGATATGGGAGAGAGGACAGCTAATGATGGACTTCAGCAAAACTGGGACATATCTATACTGGGATGGACCAAAACCATTATTCATAGATCCTTAAAATGGAGATTCTTATAGTACAATTACACTGTACCTGACTTTATCCTGCAGCCCTGTTGAATATATAGTGATCCAAGTTTTCCACTGCTGTAACCTCATATACTTCAATATGCCAATTTATAACAGCAGGGGACTCAACCCACACGTGAAATGGACCCCTAGGGCCCCATGCAGAGAGGCCGCATAAGGGCCTAGGAATCAATTTTGGACAATATCCTACCACTGAGTTGTGAGTGAAACTCCTTTTGAACTGAACAATTTTGCTCATGGATTAATGGCTGTGTATGAGCTACAGTATTTAGATGATTTTCTCGTCATTGGTTCAATCTATTCGTATCAAGATATTATACAAGCTGAATTTTTTCATATACACCGGACCCTTGCTAGAACGCGCGTCTATATAGTGCGATTTCGCATATAATGCGGTCGCGGCCATGGATCCCAAATTTAATTACTTTAATTGCAATTAATTTTAACGCGGTCCCTGCGTTAACGCGGTACCGCGCATGGATCCCAAATCCCACGTTCTAGTGAGGGTCCGGTGTACTATATTTGGGGGAGGGGGAGAATCCCAAAACTTCCATGCTATACAGAGACGTTCATGTTAAATAGCGTAGAAGTTACTTGTCATATAGAATGTCAGGGTAGAGGCAAGGGGGTTAGCTGCAGTGTTACTGCCATGAAAGAATTTCCAAACAAAAGAATAAAGCAGCTTGTCATTGGCTGTTCCCTCCCCCCCACCACACACACACTTTAAACCAATAATTAGAAAGTACAATATTTCTAAGACAAAAAGCCTATTCTATTTTAGAAAAGAGCTAACGTTTACTGCATATTCGTCATGGTACATTTAAATTATAGTTTTAATAAAATACATCTTTAAATCAAAGATGAAAGAAGTCATCAGTAGTAGGCCAGTGTACTCCACTCTTTTTTCTTTTTTTCCCTCTGGATGCTGGCTGGTTCATGCTGTTCAGATTTCCACAGGCCATCTCATTCAGTATTGTTTTTACCTTTCCAGTACATATAAGCAAGAGACCCGGTAGGCCATAAAATAAAAAAGCCTTGCGTCCATCTAAATGTTGGGATGTTGATCAGCTTAGCTAGTTCATGAAGTTTTTTCAGTTAAGTTCAGGAAAGGTAGCGCAGCTGATGAAAGGTGGGTTCTGTTTTACTTTCTTTTTAAATGGCAGCATAAAACATGACACTTTTCTATCTTGAGCAAAGGAGAAAGCAAAACCTTTCTGATGAACTCTTTGCAGAACTCATTGAGCAATAAGCTAGGTCCAGGGTGAGTTTTCATCCTTGAAACTCTGTCTGGGGATTGGTGGGGGAAGGTCTGCTAGGAAACTTAGAAATTGATTTTATTTAAACCTGGTGGAAATTGTTTGAACTTCCCACCCTTGTAAACATCCACATAATGCCATGAAAAAGTTCATGTATATTGCATTTTTTTCCAGTTATCTGTCTATACAAGTTTTTACTTGGATGAGGTTCCTAGAGGTAATGCAGCTCAGACACTCCGTGGTGCCCTCTCAAATTCGTGGGTCCTCCTGTTCCTACCTTTCTTATTTTCTTGTAGGTGCTTCCACTTATTAGTATTCACCTGGGCGTTGGCGGGTCTTTGCCGACGTTGTTTGCGGTCCCTTTTCCAAACCTGTTCGCAGAACTCATCCATTGTATTGAGGTTGGGGTGGTTGATTAACTGCATGAAGTCTCTATACCAGACTTTCTGACTAGGGGTCATGCTGTTGGAAATCTCTTTGGCCTTGGAGCCATCACCATCATCTTCCTTATGAAGCAGCTCTTCCAGGTGTTCAGTATCAATTACTTCCAGAGTCACTTTGAGCAGAGTTTGCATGAAGCCATGCTCCACGGCATGACAAAAGTAAATGCCGGAGTCTTTCCGCTGAAGGGTCCGTAGCAGAAGGCCTTGCTCTGTCCTGATGAAATGATCATCCACTTTTATCTGTGTTGGAGGAAAGGAAACATTTCAACAATTATCTCTTATAAATGTTCAGAACTATTCCCTAACCATCCCTAGTTCCCTGGCATGTTACAGGAAAACTTGGCATAAAAAAGCATATTAAGGGGAAAAAGCACCTGGTCCCTCTGTAGCTGTGAAAGGTTCCACAAACACATGGAAACACTATGGATCTGCTGCTCAGAAAGCCTGGGAGGAAGAGAGTTTATTCCACAATCCTGTGTGCTGTGGAGCTCTGTGTGCAGTGGAACCTCTGTTAGTGGGGTTTGTGAGCAGGCTATGGGAGATGCAAACTGTGCAGAATCAACAGACCTACCATGGATGATACTAGCCACCATGGACCAGGTGCACCATGGTCCCTATTCTATGCCATTCCTCCGGTTGGGAAGATGAAATCTAACCCTTTAGCCCCCACCCCGGTGCTCCCTATTACAATGCCCTCAGGCAGAGGGAAACATGCTGCTGGAAGAGAGGAAGGTATGAGAAAAGAACTAGATATGAAGCCTAAAATTACAAAGTACAATAAGCAGGCTTGCAAAAATTCACATTTGTGCAAGTGATTCAAATAGGTGTACAATTTGTGTGTATGTGTATGTGCGCGCGCAGGCACATGTGCATGTGCCCATGCAGCTGTTAGAGAAAGTGCATCACACCCATTGTGTCATCCACTAAAACTGGATTCTAAAGAATAAAATACTTAACCAGCTAAGCAAACAAAGCAAATCAAACAATATAAAGCTCCTAATGTGACCAGATAGTTAGCATGCAGTTTGAAAACATATAGTCCTTGGCTTCCTTGTTTGACTCATGTGCTAAGTTGCCTATAATTTTCATTCTTCAAAAAAATGCAATGGAAGACATTATTTTTGTTCTCCAGCTTCAGGCAGAGCTGTCTAGCCAGCAGGGTAAAGGTTATTCCCTTAAAAATGATGTGATGATATGATCTTACTGGCTAAGAGGATGTCTGTGTTTCTACTAATCCCCTTGAGCACCTGGGGGTACTATATATATGAAGCAATGTAATGTAGGTAACTACAGAAGGAGAAAAAACTCACTTTAAAAATTTCAGTGTTGTGTAGGAAGGGTTCGTCAACTCTTTGCCTCTGTGGACATTTCTTTAGGTGTGAAAAATGATATACTGAGCACCATAGTTAGTTGTGAAAAAGCAAACTGCCAATGTAGTGGTCTCCAGAAAGGTAACTGCTTTGAGATTCTTGGATTGTATGTGTTATGGAGGTCCAAACTAATAGTAATGCATTATTAATTATTATTAATTATTATTCATAATAATAATAACAACAATTAATTATTATTCAGAAAGCTTCACAATTACTGTTATGTAGTTTGGATTCAGTGACCTGCTTTGTCTAATCATTTCTATTATGTATTAATATAGGAGAGCCAAAGAGAAGCCCAGCAAATGTTGAGAAGGTTGGAATGGGTACAGTTTGAACCCCAGCCTCCTGCTGAAATGTTGGCATAGTCAAGTGAGCATAGAGGAGATATAGACATGCTTGAGAGCAGCTGGGAAGGCAACTGGAATTTTGGAAAAGTTAAGGAAGCAGCTAGGGGAAGATAACTTCAGGAGGTAGCTTTGGAATTAGATCCAAAGTGCAGTTGGAAGAGTTTCCAAAGTTCTATCCACTCTGGTAAAAAAACCTTTAACAACAGTGATAATATAGAATAATACCTACCACTGTTTCTTTATTTTTATGGACCCAATTTTCCCTTAAAACTCCCATTGCTTTCAATAACAGTTCAGCACACAAAATGATGGCAAGACTGGGTAACATTTAGCTATTTGGGTGTTCTGCTGATGGAACATGAGCAGGTCTGTGCCTGTACATCCACAATATGAATTTATTGCATAATGATTACTATCACTATTGACAAACACTGATTTTTCTTTTGCATACTAATTGTTATGCATCTCAGATTTACTTAAACTCTACTGATTGTGTACAAGTCTGTGCTATGGTTCTTAATGAAAAAACATTATGCTTTCCTAGCCTTCAGTCCACTAACAGGCTTCTGGTCCCTCTTCCTGACTCTCCATCTTACCTACTTTTGAAGAGCCTCGCAAGATCCAACAAGTCTGATAATGTTCCTGTTGGGTTGCCTGAATGCTGATCCAGTCAGATACTCTATAGGGACTCTGTATTTAAAGGAACACAATGAAGTATAGGTGGAATTCACCCCTCTGGAGAGGGCAAGTACGAGGCCACTTCACCATCTTAGTACCAATGAAGCCTTATTGGATGGTTTAAGTGGGGTTTAGGTGTGAACATGCTTTGTGCTTGCCCTCTTCACAGGGGTGGATTTCACCCTCTCAGGAACGTATCTGACTGGAAAAACCTAGAATGTGGTGAATGCACAAGCAATGAGTGTTAGGAATCTGCAATATCTTGAAAGGTACTGGTGCCTTCAAGAGGGGGTGTCTCCGAAATGGAAACAAAGAGACAAAGTTCATCTCCTGATCTGAGCTCTTCCAAGGCTCAAGATGGTTCAAAGCCAGGATGTCTGTTCAGCCCCATCTTGAGCTAGAAATGTCTGCAGTGAGGATTGCAGAAGGAGGGATTTGGGAGGGCACTTTGTTTCATTTAGGACAAGCTATTTGGCAGGAGGGAAGAGACTGTGAAGGTTTCCTGTTGAGAAGCCAGAACAATCTTTTGAGGATTCATGGAATGAGGACAGCCTGGGGTAATAGAAGACATGAGATGTCTTGTTAAAGTCGGCTGAGAGACAGGGAAAGAGGCAAGGCTCCATTTGCTAATTAAAACAAAGGCTGGTCTTATTTAGATAAAGGGCTGGAATTCAGGTGGATTGTTATCTTCAAGAACTCAAGGAGGACAGGTGAGGTTTCAGAGGCCTGGAGAAAGGCAAACATAGTATCTAGCTTTAAAAACAAAAAGGACACAGGGAATTATCAACCCACATCTGATGCCTTGAAAGATTCTGGAACAAATGATTAAATAATCAGTTTGCAAGAACTTACAGGATAATAGAGTTAGAAGTAATAGCCAACATGGATTTGTCAAGAACAAATCATGCCAAACCCAACCTGTTTTCCTCCTATGACAGGGTTGCTGGCTTAGTAGATAGAGAGTAAGCTATAAACGTGATATATCTTGTTGTGGTTTTTTTTTTTTTAGTATGGCTTTTGACACAGTCCCACATAATATTCTCATAAGCAAAGTAATGAAATGTGGTCTAGATAAAATTACTAAAATGTTGGTAGAAAAACTGCTTAAAAGACCATACTCAAAGGTTAGTTATCAGTGGTTCACTGTCAAATTGTGAGTGCATATCTGGAATCCCAGAGGGGTCTGTCCTGGATCTGATACTATGTCTTTAATGACATGGATAATGGAGTGGAGAATAGGCTTATAAAATTTGCGAATGATGACACCAAGCTGGAAGGGGTTGCAAGCACTTTGGAGGGCAAAATTGGAATTCAAAACAACTTTGACAAATTAGATAATTGGTCTAAAATTAACAAGATGAAATTCAATAATGACAAGTGCAAAGTTCTACACTTAGCAAGAAAAAGTTAAATGTACAACTACCAAATGGAAACTAACCGTCTAGGCAGTAGTACTGATGAAAAGAATCTGGGGGTTACAGTGGATCACAAACTGAATGAGTCTGAAGTGTGAAGTTGTGGCAAAAAAACGCAAATATCATTCTGGGATGTATTAACCAAAGTGTAATATTTGAGACATAGTAGGTAACTGTCCTGTGCTAGTAGGCATTGGTGAGTCCTCAACTAGAGTACTGTGTCCAGTTCTGAGTGCCACACTTTAAGAAAGACGAGGACAAATTGAGAGAATCCACAGGAGAGCAACAAAAATGATAAAGGTTTAGAAAACTGTCCTATGAGGAAAGGATTAAAAAAACTGGGCATGTTTAGTCTTCAGAAAAGAAGATGAGGGGGACCTGATAACAGTCTTCAAATATGGTAAGGGCTGTTATAAAGGGAACGGTGATCAATTTTTCTTGATATCTACTGAAGGTACCACAAGAAGTAATCAGCTTAAATTGCAGCAAGGGAGATTTAGGTTAGATAATACAAAAAAAAATTCTAACTTTTAAGGATAGTTAAGCACTGGAATAAGCTTCTAATGAAAGTAGTGGAGTCCCTGTCACCAGAGATTTTTAAGATCCAGTTAGACAGCCATCTATCAGGGATGGTCTAGATATACTTGATCCTGCCTCAGTGCAGGGAGCTGGACTAGATGACCTCTCAAGGTCCCTTCCAGCCCTATATTTCTATGATTCTATATTGCATGCTGTGATGCTGTATGATTGAAACACGACCATTTATATCATTAATATTGCCACTGTTCAACAATTGCAACAAATCTGCTACAAAGTATGTCATGTAAGGTATCAATGGACAAGTTACAATCTATCAAATATGATTATCCCATTTTAATCCATGTAACATCACTGTATCTGAAGTTATGCATATTGACTATATACCTGTATTTCAAAAGTGTTTGCTCTTGGTATAACACCCACAAGGAAGTTTACATCCAATCTAGCCAGCACATTGTGAATGGACCATTCAAGTTGATGGCCCATTAAAGAACACTTAACTCTCTCATAGAAGAAGCTGATCTCCACCCAGTGAGCTTTCCTGTGGATACTTTAGCCAGAATATTATGGCTGGTCCTAAGAGTCATCAAGCCATGTAAGGCATGCTCATGTGAACCTGGATTCCATGTTGTGCCTGTAATTTTCCACAAACCAAGACTGAGAGCACCCCCTCCACGTGGGAGAAGGTATAAAGGATGTGGAAGCATCTCTATTTTGCCTCTTTCCTGCTCTGATCTCTGGACTATGGATTTACACTAAAAGGAGCATATTGACTACGGACCGAGGACCAGAGACTGTACAAGCCAACCTGATCCAAGAACTTTGCAATGATTGTGTGTATATGATTTCTTTGACCATTTTAACTCTCCCCTCTTTCTTTTCTCTTATAAATAAACCTTTAGATATTAGGTACTAAAGGATTGGCAATAGCATGATTATTGGGTAAGATCTGAGTTATTGACCTGGCTATGTGGCTGATCTGTATGTGATGAAACTGGTTTTCAGAAACCACTCATCATAGAGTCCAGTGTCTGGGTGGTGAGACACAGTCTGGAATGCCTAAGGAGACTGCATTTTTGACTTCTTTTTAACCAGTGTGGTGAGATAGAAGTTTACTTTTGTTACTGGTTTGGTATAAGCTCATGATAGAATAACCACCAGTTTGGGGGTGAGTCCGCCCTATTTCTCAGCAGTTTGTACTGAATCTGGTATTCGCAGCTGTGACTCACTGGGGCATGGTGACACATGTATCTGAGTTCATGCTACCGTACCTCTTCTTTTCGGTCTTCATTTTGCTTCTGGAATTGCCAGTAAACTAGAGCACGCTGAGATTTTGGACTGCACTCCAAGAAAGTGCTGCTGTTCTCTACTCCGTAGATAATCTTTTCTTCCAGACTCTGCCCACTTGGGTTATCTATAAGGCAAAAAAAGAAGAAATAAAAGCCAATGCAAAAGAAAATGGTCAGCAAAGAAAATCCTAATTGACATATTTATTTGCTCTTTCGGTAAATAGTTTCACTGCTCCATCTTGGAAAGATATTCCAGATTAGTAGATTGGTATAGGCGGCAACAATTAACCTGATTCCCCACAACTGAGCACCTTTCACAGATATTTACACTTGTGTCTGGAATAAGAAAGCTTGTTGTGTTTGTATTAAGAGCTATAGCACTGAATTGCAACATAATCTATGGTATATAAGGATGCCAACATTTTGTGCCCACTTTGCATGGGTGTAAATGACTATACAAGTTCCCTAGACAGTGGAGAATCAGACGCAAAGACTGAATTAGAACTGGGTGTAAAACTTACAGCAAACAGCACTTGCACTCTGAAAATCAAGTCCCCTTAGGGTGTCTCGAGTAGGCACCCTAAATCAATATCAGTTCGGAAAATCTCCAAGTTCCTATCTACACAAATATCACTACATTTTTTTTTAGTCGAGCCAAATGTAAAAACCTCAACATTTGAAGTTAAGAAAGTTCACTGTGAATATTTTGCACAACCCTAGTTTTTAGACATCAAGAAAAAACATCTAGGTCACGACAAGCATTTTTTATGACAAAACCTATGCAATGAGAACATTTGGGGTGTAGTTTTAGAATGTCTATAATGATGCCTCTTGGGCTTTATGATCACAATTCTTTGGCGCAAAGTAATAAAACATGAGGCTTTTTACAAGTACTAATAATGTGTTTAGATTATATAGAATTGCAGTTTGTTGCAGCTGTTAATGACCAGGAATAATGTTTTTGAGGAAACAATCTTCAGTTAATCATTTCCTCTGGTGGTATAATTTATGGAAATGTAATGAGACGAATAAAACAGACATTATGTGGGGTGGGGGAAGAAAAAGAAAAGTTAAATAAATTACTTCCTTTTGTAACAACAATACTCCATGATATCCACCAACTTGCTGGAAATATCACATTGCTATAGGACTTATATAGCATTTGATTCTCCTCCAATACCACAGAGGCAGTAAGGCATCATATTTCAATGCTCCACTGTAGCTCTTTAAAATATTATGGATTTAAGCGGCAATAGTACAATCATAATGGAGAATATATGGGGAGAAAGGGATTGATAAGCTATTTAACACTGTTGATCTCATGGGGTTTCCTGGCTTTTTTGCCATTATTTGTGGTGGTTTCCATATTACCCTTTTGATCTTTAGTATAGGAAATCTTTAAAGAATCTGATTTTTTTTAACCCGGGAAGAATGTATAATTAAAAACCTCTGCAGAGCAATCCTGTGTCAAGAGTTGTTTGATTTCACAATGTCTTTATCATATTGGCTGTTTTATTTAGCAAACACAGTCTGTTTGATGAACTGCTGAACCAAAGGGAAGAAAGAAAACCATGGTCATGGCTTATGTTGATACAGTAATCATATGTTTTTCCTTAATGACATTCAGCCCTCAAAATCTAAGTGGGGCAGGAGAGGAATTGGTGCCTACTTAACTTTTAGTAACGAAACATCAAATGGTCAATACACACTAAATAGCTAGAAAGTGTATTGCTTTGCTTTTCTCCGCTGGATTGTGAACCTTTAGAGCAAGCAAGTGGGTGCTATGTAAATACGCGAGTGAGTGAAACAACTTTTTGGCTTCATCTGGAAACTGCAGCATTATGGAGACTGTCAGATGAGCATTGGGCTGGAGTGGTGGGAGAAAGCAAAGAAAGGGAAAGAGTGGGAAAATCAAAGGCAGCCAAAAATACTGTTGTAGAGCATTGGGTTGAACCTGGGAGAAGTAGGGAAATGATGGAAATGTCAAGAAAGGGGAGGAATGGGTAGTGTATGAAGTGACCCTCTGTGTATAAGCGGAAATAATGGGATGAAACTTAGCAGAGGAAAACTTAGGCTGAATATTAGGAAAAAAGACTAATGGTGAGATCTGTTCTAGACTGTGGTAAACCTTCAGTGAAGGAAGCCCAATCACTGAGCTCATTTAAATTAGGACATAGCCCAAGAAAATGTATTGTGGACAGTAATCGTGCATTAGCTGGTGCTGATCAAATAGGCCATTGAAATCTAACTTCTATGATTCAGGGGTGCTGAAGGCAGGAAGGGTTGTAAGAGTCAGGTAGTATTGGGATAGACTGAATACAAGAAGGTGGGTGAAATGATGGAGTAGTCAAGAAAGCAGGATGCATGCCTAGAAGTGATGGAAAAGCCTGGAAAGAAGCTGGGAAGGAAAATTAAAGGCTGGAAAGTTCACAGGAGCAGTTAGAAGAATCAGAAGGCTATGGAAGTCATGAAGCTGGCCATGAAATTCAAACCGAAATCCTGTCAGAATGTCGCAATTCCCAAGGTGAATCTAATGACAGGATTAATTTACTATCCTGATAAATTGCCTTTAAATACATTACCTCTGACATAACAGAAGTGCTTAGAATGGGAAACTACTTACACAAAGGAGATTTTTCTGTATACTGATGCTTCTCTACATAAGGCCATATTCCATGAGGTGCTGTGAGCCCCTGCAACTAGTATGAGGAAAATGCAGATCTTTGTCCCCATTCAATGGCAAATAATTAAAAAAAAAGAGATTAATGAATCCACTACATATACCATTGGGGTACTTGTCCTTTAGCTCAAGCAGAAAGGTTCATGCATTTAGGACTGTGAATCTGGATTCACACCTTAATATCTGACCAAGAGTGACTGGTTACATTGAGCATTAACAACTCCTTTTAATGAAAATGGTTTTTGTGGGTGTTTGGCACTTTTCAATATTTGGCTTAGAGTGCTCATGTTCTACTGTGGCTCTGAAATCAATTTCTCTATACACCCAAGTGATATGGTTGGTGCATAAGCTATTTGTATCCTGCTCTATGCACATTCAAATGGCTCAAACACTCAGGGCTTGTCTACATTACCCACTAGATCGACGAGCAGTGATCGATCCAGCGGGGGTCAATTTATTGTGTCTAGTCTAGACACAATAAATCGACCGCGGAGCACTCTCCCGTCGACTCCAGTACTCCACTGGGGTGAGAGGTGCAGGTGCAGTCGACGGGAGTGTCAGCTTTCAACTTACCACAGTGAAGACACCGCAGTGAGTAGATCTAAATATGTCGACTTCAGCTACGTTATTCACATAGCTGAAGTTACGTAATTTATATTGATTCCCCCCTCAGTGTAGACCAGGCCTCAGAGGCCTCTTGGTGAAAGTTGCCCTGTACTGTCTTTGAAAAACGGTAAAAGCCTGTCCTTTTTAACACACAAAAAAGATATTATCTCTTCATGCAGTTCCCTGGCACAAGGAGGGAGAATGAACCAGTAGTGAATGAACAGGAATTCCTAGAGGTGTGAGTGGGTGGAAGGACCACCAGAGCATGCAGTTGCCCTGCAGAGGAACCCCATTCTGCATCTGATACACAACAGACTGCCATGTGCAACATGGAAAACAGCTTAGGAGGATTTTTCATAGGATCAAGTAGCTCAGTTGTATGCTATGCGACACACGTTTCCAGCTGAAATAGTGAGTGCATCTGGTAACATTCCATAGTTTAAATTCAATGAAATTTTTGTAATGTGACAACCTAAACGGAGTCAGAATTCAGGTGGGAGAAATTTCACTTTAGATCAAACAACTGAAGCTATCCAGTATGTGCATTATTTTGAACTCAGTGTCTTTAAGCTCTAGTGCCTTGTGGAACTAAAGCTGGAGGACATTGCCAAGACATTGTAACTGTGTTTCTAATCACTTCCCACTTTGTTTTCTCATTGAATTTGACTTCATGAAGGGTATCTTGCCATCAGCTTTATGCGTCTCCTGTTGATGTATTTGAAAACGTGTTTATTAATATGACTTTGGATGATTAGAGTAGGTTTTTCCAAATGAAAAATACAGTACCACATGATTGGTTTCTAGTAGGTTGCTAGAATGGACAGTTAGATGGTATTTGATAATGCCTTAGTTCACCATCTGGTAAAATGAATATCATAAAAAGTTGCAGACTGTTATTGTCCATATAGTCTTGTGGATTGGGGAAAGTGTTGATGTGGTATATCTTGACTTGAGCAAGACTTTCGATACTGTCTCACATGAGTGTCTCATAAACAAACTAGGGAAATACAAGCTAGATGGAGCTATACGGTGGGTGCATAACTGGTTGGAAAACCGTTCCAAGAGAGTAATTATCAGTGGTTCACAGTCAAGCTGGAGGGGCATATCGAGTGGAGTCCCACAGGGATTAGTTCTGGTTCTGTTCAATATCTTCATTAATGATTTAGATACTGGCATAGAGGGTACACTTATAAAGTCTGTGGATGATATCAAGCTGGGAGGGGTTGCAAGCAGGCCTTAAATTCAGGTGGAGCTTTCCAGAGTGGAGCTCTAGTAAATATTTTCAACCCCCTGGAGCTTTTATGGCATGTTAGACGTGGTTTTGGAGGGGGCTCCGGAAAGTACTCTATTTAAGCCTGGGTTGCAAGAGCTTTGGAGGATAGGATAAACATTCAAAAAGATCTGGAGAAACTGGAGACATGGTCTGAAGTAAATAGGATGAAATTCAATAAGGACAAATGCAAAGTACTACACATAGGAAGGAATAATCAATCACAGGCATACAAAATGGGAAATGACTGCCTAGAAAGGAGTATTGCAGAAAGGGATCAGGGGGTCATAGTGGATCACAAGCTAAATATGAGTCAACAGTGTAACACTCTTGCAAAAAAAAAGTAAACATAATTCTGGGATGTATTAGCAGGAGTGTTGTAAGGAAGACACAAGTAATTCTTCTGCTTTACTCCATGCTGATATGGTCTCAACTGGAGTATTGTGTCCAGTCTGGGCACCACATTTCAGGAAAGATGAGGACAAATTGGAGAAAGTCCAGAAGAGAGCAACAACAATGATTCTAGAAAACATGACCTATGAGAAAAGATTGAAAAAACTCAGTTTGTTCAGTCTGTAGAAGAGAAGACTGAGGTGGGACCTGATAACAGGTTTTAAATACATAAAAGGTTGTTACAAGGAGGAGGGAGAAAAATTGTTCTCATTAACCTCTGAAGATAGGAGAAGAAGCAATGGGCTTAAACTGCAGCAAGGGAGATTTAGGTTGGACATTAGGAAAAACTTCCTAACTGTTAGAGTAGTTAAGCACTGGAATAAATTGCCTTACAAATGTGGTCTTGTAGGCACTAAAGTTTTCCATTGTTTCATTTGGAGTGCAGTTACGTTAAAAAAAATTCTACATTTATAAGTTGCACTTTCGTGATAAAGAGATTTAACTACAATACTTGTATGAGGTGAATTGAAAAATACTGTTTCTTTTGTTCATCTTTTTTACAGTGCAAATATTTGTAATAAAAATAATATAAAGTGATCATTGTACACTTTGTATTCTGTGTTATAATTGAAATCAATATATTTGAAAATGTAGAAAACATCCAAAAATATTTAAATAAATGGTATCCTATTCTTGTTTAACAGTGAGATTAAAACTGTGATTAATCAAGATTTTTTTTAAATCTTACGATTAAGCGCGATTAATTTTTTTAATTGTTTGACAGCCCTAGAAATAAGCAGTGTTACTGCAATGTAATACAGCAATGTGAGCATAGATTAGTTGCTGTTATTATAAGGAGTTGAAGACACATGGGATCCCAAATATCTCCCTGTTCAGCCATCTCCACTTTGTATATCTCTGAAATCTATTAATTGGTTAAACGAACACCAGCATCACTTATGTCACAAACCAACAGTGGTCAATTTTCTCCAGCAGAGGGAAGTATCGTCTAAGTGTTCTTTTTCATGTACAGCAAAAAGTAAAGTTCTCATTCTCTGAATGAAAATGCTGTGAAGTGTGTGGCAGAAAATTGGGTACCTGTGGGAAGACAGGTTTGTCTTCTAACATACAACAACTTACTAAAACAAAAATCTGACCCTGGCAGAGGGAGGAGATTGGGGTAGACATATCTGCGGGATGGGGTTAGGGACTGGAGTTAGGTGGGTCAAAGGGAATGGGGGATGAGCCACAAAATTGAACTGGTGGGTGAGGTTGGTGCTTTTCTGTCCCACTGCCCCTTCACTATGTGCTAGCGCCCCCTGGTGGCCAGTCTGGGCCCTTTGCTCCTGGGACTGAGCCAGTCTAGCCCCACCCCACACTGTTATGAAGCGATGGCAGCGGATTCGGGCTGCCGGGTGGGACTACAGTGGCTGCAGTGAAAAAGGCCTGGCAGTGGTAACACTGTTCCCCAGGTCATTACAGCTCCCTCCCCAGAACCAGCACTCCCAGAGCCAGCTCCTTGGCATCCTCCCTCCCCGCACAATACCCCCAGAGCCAGAGCTCCTCGGTTTCCCCTGTCCCCCACAGGCAGCATGCAGAGAGCCCTGGACAGGCAGAATCACCCCCATGGTCTGGCAGCATTATCAGCGTGAGTTCTTGCACTGCTCCCAGTGGCCGCAATTCACCATTCCCGGCCAACGGGAGCTGCAGGAATTGGCAGCCAGCATGTCCCAGTTGGGGGACAAAATTATACCAAACATGTTAGGATGGGGAGGGGGGAGGGATTTGCCTGTCTCTGTCTCCCCCTTGTGGCACCTCTACAACCAGGAACAAAATAGAGGGATAAAAAAGTATAGAAATCTTATCCCATTTAAAATTAGCCCAGTCTGTTTATATTACAGGAAACAATCCTTGTCCAAAGAATGAACTAGATGATGTAACAGTGCTTTTCCACTACAAGCATATACAATTCTGTGCCAATATGGTTTGTTACATCACTATATATAGCAGTGAGTTATGGTGTCACCTCTATGTAAAGCAACATGTACATTGATGATAGCAACGATGATGACCAATATGATAATTCCCCATTCAATATGTAAAGCTTATTCCTATGTTACAATGTCAGGTGCATCAGAAAGTTTAAAAAAGTTTGAATGTGTTATTAGCTTGCAAATAAGAGTATACTGAATCCTTGATCTGATTATTACAGGCAATCAAAATTAGGTTAACGACCAAAGGCAAGTTAACTTTTCATGAGTAGGCAATATAGTTTCACTCCTGTTTCATACTTTTTCTTCCCACGGCAATCATGCACAGTCTGAACATGACATGCCTGCTGGTTGTACTTAAACAAAATATCTATTTCTTACCATGATGCTGCAGGTCAGAACAGTGAGTGAGAGGATCTCCATTTCGGATATCTTGTCGTCTAGTACGCCTAAGAAAATCACATCAGAAAACGTTATTCACTTTCTCAGAGATGAAATTAAGTATTTGTGTTAGGTAAGCCAAAAAAGAAGGGCATTGTTATTTACTGTTATATGGGGCATGCAACATCACAAAGAAGACAGCAGGGTAAGTAAGGAACTTCATACTTTATTGCATTCTATAGCATTGTAGATAATAAACTTCTTCATGCTTCCAAATGAAGGCTTCAGTCATTGATAAATGCATGTGAATGTACAGTAAGCCCTCCTAAAAATACTGATTATGGGTAAATTCATCAGTCTTTTGAAATGTATATTAATAAGAGTACAATATGCACAAAGTGCAGCCTGTTTAATGTTTATTGAAAATACAAGGAATTTAAAATGGCACCATCTTGCTTACAAACTGAGATTACATTAAATAGCCTAGCTTTATCGTTAGACTCTTCTAGATTATAGGCAAGAGGCTTATTTGGCAAACTACAATGTTACTGCTAGGACTTAATATATTTAGAGATGGATAGAATAATGTTTAACTCAACTTTCTTCTGGTTTGACCACAACCTTGGATCAAAATCTATATGAAAGTTTTTGCAAGTGGCTTTCATTTTTAGTATGGGCTGAATTAAAATTCAAAATCGGAACATCCTTGAAAAATGGTCTATTCGAAGTTCAGATCTAAACTGTGTAGCTTGAATCCCTCTCTAGTTCTTATCACAGTCCCATTTAATATAACTTTATATTCTTCCTCCAATTTGCTCTCCATCTCTTCTCTTTGACAAAGTGTTGATCTGTTTGAAAAATGTTGTGTTTTACAGAAAACAAAACAAAACATATTTTTCTATACAGTTCTCTTTGGTTTGCATTTGTTGTGCTTGCTTTGTCTGTTTCTTTTCTTACCTAAACAGCTGTGATACATAACACAATTCATCCCATGAAAAGGAGTTTTATTTAAAAAAGAAGAAAAGAACAGGGCAAACAAAGATGTGTTTTGAGAACAAGCACTTTACTTTGGGAATAGGAGAAAACCAGAGGGATTGCAAAGTCAGGAGAGAGCAAAAAGGATTAGGTGGCCGAACAATATTGAGATGTCAGATTATGGCATCCATTGACACACACAAAAAAGTGAAGTATCCTTGTAAGAGCCACACTTGATCTTCAGTCACAATGGTACAAATTAAGCAAATATAATGGTTTCTGCAATACAGAGATCATCTCTTACCTCTCCCATTGTTAGAGTGAAAATCAGTTGGAACACAATTCATTAACAGCCCCAGAACTGATGGGGGAAGCATGCAGGGGGTTCTCCATTAGGGGTTATCAGCTGTGGAATTTGATTCTGGATCTGGGTGGGAATTTTTTGACAATCTCTCCATGAAAAAATGCTGATTTGTTGAAATCGAAATTATTTGTTAGAAGAAGGCAATTTCCACAAAATTCCCATTTCTGAAAAAAAAGCACCTAAATATCATTTTCAAAAGTGATTTAGTCAGAGAGGAGCCTAAGATTCATTTATTTTTGAAAATGGGACTTATGAGCTATTGAACATTTCACCCACCACTTATATAACTCTCTTCATCCATAGATTTCATGATGCATCTCCTCACTATCTCCCTCCGTGGGCATATCCAATTTTCACAATGCCCTGAATGAATACATAGTCTATTGGGTATGCTGCATAGCTTAACAAACTTTGGCTAAAGGGAGAAATGGGCTGGAAAATGGTTTTCCCATCCCATAATTCTTTTTTTTCAGAAACGGGAATTTTGTGGAAATTCTTCTCACAATTTTGATTTCAACAAATCATCATTTTTTTCTTGGAGAGAGTGTCAAAAAATTCACACCCGGATCCAGAATCAAATTCCACAGCTGATACCCCTTAAGTCCCATTTTCAAAAGTGATTTTTAGGCACCAAGGAGACTAAGTTTTAATTTATTTCTGAAAATGGGACTTATGCGGTTTTGAACACTTCACCTTGCGTGCATGAATCCCACTGAAAGTCAGTGGGACTTAGATGTCTTAGACACTTCTGTCTACCACTATTAATATCAGATTTTCCAGTATAATGACACAACAAGATGCATGAAAGCATTTTAATAGAAGGCACCCTTCTGTGTTTAGGTGGATGTTCTAAAGATATACTTCATCTCTCTCACTCATTCCAGTTTGCACTGTATTTTCCCCATGGAAAGCTAGTTGCAATACGGGTGAATCAGAACCACACCCAGGCCCAAATGAGCTGCAAATGCAATGTTTGTCACTCCCTTCATAAATTCCATGGGCCAACTTATTTATAGAATTCTATTTGTAGGAATTAGGCCTAATTAGACTCCCATTAATGTCAATGGATTTTGGATCAAGCATTTAGTTAGGATATCAAGCAAATGTCACACATTTCAGCATTAAGCCAGCATGGTGATCTATGAAACATGAGCTCCAAAGCATCTGCACAAGGCTGAGTCAAATGGTCACACTATAGGCTTTCTAAACTGTCATTTAGGCTCCTTAAAGATACACTGAGTGGGAAAAATATAAAAGACAGACAGATAAAGAAAATGACTATAAGCAAATCATCTCTACACATGCACCAAGCCACAGCATTCCCAACACTTTTGGAATCTGGACTTGTAGAGATGCATGAGTGGGAGGCCATGGCATCTGAGTTCTTTCCAGGAATGCTCATTTTGTGACTGGTGTATTTAGTTTATCTTCTTTACCTCCCCTGGGAAGAATTATTTTGCCTCAAATTATTTCAATATTCTGGTGCAAAAATAAGACTGCATGTTTCATAAGCAGCTTCCCCCCTCCCCCCAAGTGTTTGCTTAGGCTACACTGAGGTACAAAGCTTGACATTTCAATCCTCTCCAGCTGAAATATCTGTGGAGGAAACTCTCCCTACTGTCCCTTACATTATCTCATCCCTTCCAGCAGCCAACCAACGACCCCCCCCTCCCCTGCCCCCCAGAGTTAAATATGTTTTGGAAGCATGAAATTCCTAACTGAAGTATTTGTAAACTTTAGCTTCAAGATGAAGTTTGCCTCTTCTGTACATAAATGCTTGGATCTCTCATGTCTCCTTTGATGTAAGACACTTATGGCATATTCCCTTTTACATTATCACCATCTGAGCAATTTTTTTTTTTGCAATAATTTGTCTAAAATACTGATAGTTACAAAGTGATGATATGCTGACCATGGGCCAAATTCTGATCTGATTTGCAACAATATTTATCTATTAAGTTATTCCAGATTTACATGTGAGTAATTAAGTATCGGGGGTAGCCGTGTTAGTCTGTATCCACAAAAACAACAAGGAGTCCGGTGGCACCTTAAAGACTAACAGATTTATTTGGGCATAAGCTTTTGTGGATAAAAAAACTCACTTCTTCAGATGCCTGGAGTCTGAAGAAGTGAGGTTTTTTACCCACAAAAGCTTATGCCCACATAAATCTGTTATTCTTTAAGGTGTCACCGGACTCCTTGTTGTTTATACCTGAGTAATTGACAGCAGATTATAGACCCTGGCCCAAAATCAATTCTTAATAGCGATAGATTTATTTGGAGGCTAAAAATGCATGTTTTAAAAACGTTAAGCTAAACAGCTACTCCACAGTACTTAGAAAAATACAAATATTATTTTTCATGTACAGGGCCTGATACTTCTTCACGATGCCTCTTGTGTAATCATTTACATCTGTGCAAAGTGAGTGTAAAATGCTATCAAGTCAGAATGGCTACACCAGTTTTGCACAAGTTGCAGAGCACTAGAGAATAAGGTGGTATCTATCTGTCAGTTTTCATTAAGTCCCAAATGCTTTCTCATTCAGTTAGCATCACAACAACTTTTGAAAGTGTAGGGCAATTAGGGTGACCAGATGTCCCGATTTTATAGGGACAGTCCCGGTTTTTGGGGCTTTTTCTTATATAGGCTCCTATTACCCCTCACCCCCTGTCCCGATTTTTCACATTTGCTGTCTGGTCACCCTAAGGGCAATGATGTTACAGTTGTTAAATACCTGTATTCATAAGTGTGTAATGATTGCAGGCCTGAGCTCTCAATGAATTTTCTCTCCATTTTTTATTGTTGACATTTTTCATTGTATAAGACAGCAGATTTCCATCTCAGAGATGGCACCATTGTTTGTTTTTTTATCATGGACTTTCCAAGCCATCCCCCAAAGTAGCAATGTTCACTTACCAAGACTTGATATTGCTTGTAACTTTCACAAATACGTTTTCTTTGAAATAGAAAGGGCTCCAATTAACCACCCCAGGAAAAACCTCGAAATCCCACAGGTCACCTCTCAGATCATCAATTAAAGCAAGTGGTATATAATGCAGATATGTGCAACTGTCCCTACCTCTTAGCAGTGGGGAAGTAACGTGAGCACGAAGAGCCGTCCCAAGCACAGTAAGGGTCTCTAGCAAGGCAACACTCAGCACATGCTTTTCCGTACACGTCGCAGCGGTGCAAAGGAAGCTGTGAAACTCCAGCGGCTGAGCCAATGTAGAGTTGTTGCTGTGAAATAAGTGCAAGTTGGCAAATAATCAGGTTTCACTGGAAAGACATGCACAATACATCAAAAATATATATAGTGAGGGCTGATTCTGATCTCATTTACATGGGTTTTACACCAGTGTGTCTACAGTGACTTCGGTGATATTGCTCCTGATTTACACACATGTGAGCGAGAGGCAAATCAGCCCCAATATTAAAAAAAAAGTCCAAGTAAGAAAATTATTTCCTGTTTCTATGGTACAAATTCTGATACTGATTTTTGTATGAAACCTCCACGGACGTCAATGGAATTGCCACAAGTGAAGCGAGGTAGGCTACATCTCTAAGTTCCTATCCTTCAATACCATAAAAATGGCAAAATTAGGTCAGACCAATGGACAATGTAGCCCAGTATCCTGTCTTCTGACAGTGGCCAGTGCCAGATGCTTCAGCGGACGTGAACAGAACAGGGCAACTATCACGTGACCCATCCCCTGTCATCCATTCCCAGCTTCTGGTAGTCAGAGGTTTAGGGACATCAAGAACATGTGTTGCATCCCTGACCATCCTGGCTAACATCCATTGATGGACCTATTCTCCAGGCATCTATCTAATTCTTTTTTGAATCCAGTTATACTTTTCGCCTTCACAGCATCCCCTGGCAACAAGTTACACATATTGACTGTGTGTTGTGTGACAAAGTACTTCCTTATGTGTTTTCACTCCAAAGTGTAATAGGTTTCAAGTACACCAATGTACCCATTTTTGATTCGTCAAAAATGATTTCTAATAAATCTCTCTAGAATGAGAGGCTCTGAACTGAACAGAAGCACAGAGAGTCATAGGAAATCTAAAATAAATTAACTAAGACCAAAAGAAAGTTGCTTAAAGATTTTACTTATTATGGGACAGTTGAGAATGTTCAATCGGTTAAGTATATTATGTGGTTTAGGAATCCTATACTCAAGAGGGTATCCAAATCACTCTACTTGCTTCTCTTTAAAGCAATGTATTTAGAATCCAGTTGTTGACCATTATGCTGGACACTAATAATAAATAATTCCAGCCAATATGAAACTCAAAAAATGGTAATGGAGTCATCCCCATGAATGGCCTGACACTGCACTCTCACAAGACGATTTGTGTTTAATACATCAGCTGATTATCAGATCAAATTACAGCAAGAGAAGCTGTCCATTGAAGAGATCTTTTCAAACTGCTGAAACAACAGCACTATAGTGAAGATCTGCAGGTTAAGGGAGGGTCAAAATACGTGGCAGTGGTCTCCATTTGCCATCACTTACCACACATTCATGTCTGAGATACAACTGTTTTTCCTGTGGTTTGGAATAACAGATGTAAAATGCATCCATGCAAGCCAGCACAAGGCCGTGAAAGTGTGGCATAGGTTTTGTGTGGCTCTTCAGCACAGGACTGAATGTTATCTAGTATGAAAATATGCAGGAGCAGAAAGAGTGAGAACTGAATAAGATATAGTACTTCACACATGTATGCAAATCTACTGTAAGTTCTTTTTGACGATTTAAGGGATTGTCTCTCTCTCTCCCCTCCCTTCCTTGAATGGAAATGTGGGTGGTGGGAACACAGCAATTCTCTGTTCCAGACAAAAAGTTTGTCTGTATCTACCCGTGATCTACTTGTCCCATCCCACCCATGACTTCTATGAGCACAGGGGTTCATAAAACCCATAAATCTGAGCCCAAGAGGTAGAAGGGGTGAGGGCTTGCACAACAAAATGCTACTTCCAGCCCCCCTACTCTGTTCTGTGGGTATTCATAGCAGCAGGTGGGGAGGGGGATAGGTATGGGGGTACCAGGGATTTTCTGTGGCCTGTTCCTCCTCCCAAACTCAGGGGGGAATGAGGAGAAAGTTATTGTAGATTGAATCTGGGTAACTTTTCAGGTTTTTCCTCAGTATTGTGGAGCCCCATCTGAGGGAATTTCTGGGGGCAGTGTTGGCTCCTGCAGTAAGAGTGCTTTTAAGGAACTGCAGGGAGTCGGGGGGGGGCAAGGGGCTCTGCTCAGATGGCCTGCTTCTGTTGCTGATCCACCAAGAACAGTGCATATCTCAGGGGTCAGTGGATTTAGGGGATGGAACACACATGAGAGCCTTAGTGATGAACTCAAAATCTAACCTCTGTGCGCTAGAGAGGGACAGGAGGCACATCAAGGCTCACTCTGAATGCATTGTAAAGGGCTGATTCAAGGGGTAAAATTCACCCTTGTGCAGAGGGCCAGCCAGCACTAGGCTTTAGCTAGACACCTAGTGGGGAATGCCAATTGAGTTGGCAAGACTGCCAGAGAGGTAGCAATGGTAAAGTCTTGAAGTACCAGTAGATGGGACCCACAGACCTAGTAAAGTATGCAAGAGTAAGCAGAAAGGTCTGTTCACAGGGCTGTCTGAATCACATCAATGCACTCCTAGTTTATATACATAGTGATGATTGCACTGAAACTATTGAATAAAGTGTGCTGATTTTATTGTTTACATTTACACTTTTGCACTGTGCAGTGCCTAGAACAGGGGTGGGCAAACGTTTTGGCCTGAGGGCCACATCTGGGAATATAAATTGTATGGCAGGCCACGAATACTCACAAAATTGGGTTTGAGGTGCAGGAGGGGGTGAGGGTGAGGGTTCTGGTTGGGGGTGCGGGCTCCAGGGTGGGGCCAGAAATGAGGAGTTCAGAGTGCAGGAGAGAACTCCGGGCTGGGGCGGGGGGGTGGGGCGCGGGGTAGGGGTGAGAGCTCTGGCTGGGGGTGCAGGCTCTGGGGTGGGGCTGGGGATGAGGAATTTGGGGTGTGCTCTGGGCTGGGATCGAGGGGTTTGGAGGGCAGGAGGGGGATCAGGGCTGGGGCAGGGGGTTGGAGCATGGGGAAAGCCTCAGTGGTTCAGGCTCCGGGCGGCACTTACCTCAAGCAGCTCCTGGAAGCAGAGGCATGTCCCTTCTCTGGCTCCTACGCGGAGGTGCGGCCAGGTGGCACTGCACGCTGCCTCATCCTCAAGCATCGCCCCTGCAGCTCCCATTGACAGCAGTTCCTGGCCAATGGGAACTGCGGGGGTGGCGCTTGGGGCAGGGGCAGAGTGGAGCCCCCGGGCTGCCCCTGTGTGTAGGAGCCAGAGGGGGGCCATGCCGCTGTTTCCAGGAGTGGTCCCCATCTCTGCTCCCCGGCTGGAGGGCCGGAAAGGGGCAAGCCCCAGACCCTGCTCCCCAGCGGAAGCTCAAGGGCTGGATTAAAATGGCTGATGGGCCGGATATGGCCCACGGGCCGTAGTTTGCCCACCCCAGCCTAGAATTATTATGTTATTATGATGTTTATGTGAAACCCCACAACTTAAACACAATGAGTAATGTGTTTGAGATGTAAAACCTAGAGCATCTTTTAATCATAAATATAGTGTTGAAGCATGTTGCCAAATACTTCTTTGATACAAAGTCTCTGTGCCAAAAGCATGTCATGCTGAATCATGATTCTGTCATTTTTAATCCAAGGCTGGCTGATATTTCAAAAGCTTAATTTTGCCTGAATAACTCATACTGTGCTCTTTCTAGTTTTAGACAATATTAATATTGTAATTTGTTTTCTAATGACTTGGGGGAAATTGTAATCCCTCCTAAGTAAATAAAGATGCTTTGAAGAAGTTGTTATATTAAAATGCACAGGCCATTATACAATACAATCAGCTGTCTTAAAAGAATGTACTTGTAAAAATAATCCAAAGCAGAGCATTTTGGTATGATGTGAACATATACACCACTTGACAGGTTTGTTTGTAAATGGTACATTCTTTTTAAGCCACCGTTTTTGTTGGTTTGGGTGATATGTCAGGGAAGTGGCCCCAAACAAAATGTTTTGTGTCAAATACTGCACATTTTCAGGCAGGTTTCCAATATACAATGGATTCCTAGTTGTATTTTCAGCATTTGAAATGGAGAGTTGAGCTTTGTTCATTAGAAAATACAATTTAGCCCTTTGAAGGGTGCCCTCACAAGGCCAATACACCACTTAAGACCTATTTCAACAGGGCATAGGTCTCATTGTGACTCTTTGCTGAGAGGTGTTGTACACCATTATTAATGGACCCAATCCTGCAACAACTTACTATCAGGTATTAGTACCGGAACTTCAATGGGAATACTCATGTTAGTAAGCAAGATACTAATTCGTATTTTCATAATCAGGCCCAAAGTCAGCAAAACTGGGAAAAATCACCTCTCTATTTTATATATCTATAATATAAGCTACTATAAAGCATACCGGGGGTGACTATGCTTCCACTTAAATCAATGAAGGGTTTTGTCACTAACTTTGCAGGAAACAGCACTGGATCCATATGTGTAAAGGGCCAAATTCAGACATGTTGTAAGTGAGTGCAATGCCTCTAAACTCCATAGCTTCTTAGTCACTGGAGCATTTGGAAATGTGGAATTTTTCTACAAGCAGCTGGTTAGTTAGTGTTTAGTTTACACCTTGCCAGTAAAGCACAAAACTAACTTTTTCCTTTCTCCACTGCCTGACACATTTTCCTTGAGAAACTGCTGATGTTTATGTAAAGGGATGGGATGTTGCTGGTATAATTAATATGCCTCTCCTAAGTGCCAAGTTACTGTCTCTGAAATATACAGGCCAATAAATATTTTAAAAAGTGATTTAAAGCTTGTGCATACAGTACCTGCTTTGTGGAAATCTTCATGGCAGAAATAACAGTGGGTTCCTAGAAAAAAAACATTAAAATGGGTTAAAATGTAAAATGTGCTTTTTATAAACATGAAATTAGTGCTAGAGGGTCATCTACCAGCTAAGAAACTCTTTGGATCCTTTGATGGCATTTCTTGCTGACTATTACAATGAAATGTTTTTATTGTTATAGGTGAATTAGAATGCATATGCATTTGTGCCTGTGCATGTGTCAATTCAACATCACGATTTATCAATCATTTCTCATACTTCATTATTCCAGAGTTATTGGTTTTGTTGTTTGTTTCACTTTTTGAAATTCATTTCTGTTCATACTGTTAAATTTAAATTTACAGGAATGTATCCATCTAGCATGCATAGAGAAAAGCTTCAGAATAAATATTAATATGATAAGGTGCAGGTGACGGAACCCAAATGATCACTTGATCATTACCTGTTAGGTTCATTCCCTCTGGGGCACCTGGCATTGGTTACTGTCGGAGACAGGATACTGGGCTGAATGGACCTTTGGTCAAACCCAGTATGGCCGTTCTTATGTTCTTATGTAAATAAACCAATCACTTTAATAATACCTAGATGAAGACCCCAGTCCTGCAAACACTTATTCATGTGACTAGCTCTCCTCACACGAGTAGTCCTATTGACTGTATTGGGATTGCTCATGCTTATGTTTCTGGAATGCGGAGCTCATACTGGTAGTAAATTTGTATACAGTGAAGAATTTAATCAATATAATGGGCAAATCCTGCTCACCTTACTCAGGCACTGACTTCTAGGGAACATTATGCCTGAGTAAAGTTAGCAGATTTTGGACCCATACATAGTTTCCTATATAAATTATTGTAGCTTTATAATCACGTTAATAAAATAATGGATTTAGTCTTGATCGTAAAGGGTTTTTTGTTTTATTTTATGTTGATAGGGTAGTCCCAGTAACTTCAGTGGGATTAGTTATGTAAGTAAAAGCTACAGGACTGAGCCCTTAATGAGTAATTCTAACAAAGTTTAAGTTTCAGTGCAGTGTAAAACCTTATTACATGCAATGCAAAAGAGTACTACTAACTGACCCTATGCATCATGTTTTTAGCAAGGTATATTAATATAGTTCGCATTAAGTTTTCAACCTGCTGATCCTGGGAGAATTTGATATGGCTGAGTGGATGCTAAGCATGTGGACTCCTTTACAAATGGGTTAATAGACCTGGTATTAGAAAGCATCAATTACGTGTTACATTTGAATGAAAATTGAACTCATTTGCTTGTTTGCTCAGCTGTTCTGGGGAATATTTCACAATTCGGGTTAAAAAAGGCATTTGTTATCAATGTAACAGATCTGGAAGGTTTTCAGTTTGGTGGATTTATAAATGAAAACCATTGTATTCCTCATACTGCGGCTCAAACAGTGAAATACATTCTTCATGACACAGAGATAGCCTCTTCTGTAGCCAGTAAAAACTCAGATATGGTAGGTTCCATCTAAAATTTATTGCAAAATTTCTATTAAAAGATCTAATTCCTGTTTACTCCAAGGCCTCCTTAAATATTAAACTAAGGAGGCCTTAATGTCAATGAGAATCAGGCCCAAACTATTTTTATATAACACAAAAGATGCACCAGTAAATTTAAAACCCAAATCCTAATTTGCCATTCAGTGTAGTGCTGCTGCAAATCCAGTGTGGAAAATAACGTTGATTCAGTTTTTCCTAATTTACTCTCCTATTTCTTTGATCTCTTGGCACTTCTGCTTTATTTAAGGAAGAAACTCCTATGCTATCAAAGTTGCCAGATTACCCTGCAGAGTACATAATAATCTTGCTACATGTTAAAGAGAGAAAAGCCAGAAGCCACAAATTACACTTCTAATTTTCCCTTCATAGCTTCTAATTTACATTTGTGTTAGAAAACCCCAAAACAACAAAAAACTCAAACCCACAAAAAAATGAAACACAGCCTGACAGTGACCAATCTCTGGGCGGTGATTCTTGTGCAAACTTTGCCTGTGAAGCATAGAATGCTGAAAGTAAACATTTCTATAAAATCTGCCCAAATATGTTGTGTCTACTGTCAAACCAAAGATATAGTGATATAGGATGAAGAGAGGAATAATTCAGCAAACTCAAATGTTTTATTGTAGTACAGAAAACATGGAACATCCCTGGGGATCTATCTGACATGATTCAGAAAAAAGTTTGATTTATTTGGGCTAAATTTTCAGAAGTGACTAGTGGATGCTTCACTTGGGGTAAGATGTGGGGCAACTCGCGGTACTTTAAAGGGACTTGATTTTCATAAAATGCTGAGCTCCCATACTCTTAAAATCAGGCCTTTTTAAGCTATCTCAAGTCAGGCACCTAACAATGGAGACACCCAAAGTCCCTTCTGAAAATTTAGGCCCTCTGTTCCTTTTGGTTTTGAAGGCAACCGTAAATGGTACCAGACTTAAAAACAAAACAAAACAAAACAAACAAAAAAAACCTCTGGAGGCCAACATTTTGCCTAAGAGAGGTAAAGTGTATATTTCATGTGTATTTGTAATGTTTTCACTGAGGTGTCATGGAAGCTCAAGGAATAAGACTGAAGAATCTCCTCCTGCCCTGATAATCTGAATTGTTTCTAATAGCCACATATGTAGTTATTATTTTGTATAACCTCCTGGGAGAGGATGGGTGGGGAGATTCCAGAAAATACACATTGTTTAACTGTAACTGACAATCACTCAAAGATTTAGTGATTCTAATTTACCATTGAAACAGCACAACAAGAATCAGGAATGTTATTTCTTTTATCATTAACCTCCAACTAGCATTGGAAGCTTCAAGGTTTATTTTGACTAGTGTCTGGGTGTGTAATGGACAAGCTAATTAGAAGAATATGCCAGGCTACTCCTTGGCGATCCTGCAACAAGTTCAGCTTGCAGCTGTCCACAGAAAAATCTACAACCTGACACTTGAAATTCAGCAGCACTTACCCGAAAGATTGCCATTTCTTCCAGCAAGACTTCTTCTAAATCATGCCAAGTCTCCTTAGGAATTGAAACCACTTTAAGAACCGTCCCAATATCTTTAAAAGAAAAAAACATGTTTTCAGGTGCTTAATAAGTAGACTCCAATTTAAGGGCAACCAGAATTTCTTGATCTTTTGCCATATGCAATTATTTCCATACAAGGGTCCTGACACTACATATTGCTGAGAACTGACTCCACACAATACCCACTGACATTTGAAATGAACTAGCAGGGTTTTGAATTTCAATAAAGCATTGTTCTGAAATTTCTTAATTGTGGAAGTTCAACAGAAAAATGATTCATTACTCTGCTTCAGCTGTTAAAGAATGAACAGGACAGCACAATATTATTAGATTGGTGTCATGAAATGTCAGCTGCCTCAGAGGTATTATTATAGATGGGAATGTGCTAAATTTACTCAGCCACATTTTATTAGCCATTCTGAAGTAGGAAGTTTTTCATACTTGTTTTAAAATACACGTGCAGATGTTATTAGAAGGCTCATTGTGGACACAAGGACAGCTGGAAGAATGTTGTCAAACTGATGAAGTTGTCAGTTCTTTTAAGTACATGCTGTTCTGGTGTCAAGCAAAAGTGTCTAAGACTTATATGTCCCTAAAGATATTTGTATTTCTATTATGTGATGAATGGCATTAGCCTTGTTTCAGGATAAAACAACAACAGCCCTGTACAACTTGTATCTTTTAATTAGAGATAGGTTTGCACCAAGGGCTCGATTCTACACTCATTTAGGTTACTGAGAGTTTTTCCACTGACGTTAATGTGAGCAGGTTCAGGTCTCAAAACCCCAGCGCTAAACACCCCCTCAAAGACGTATGAAAGTCTGGATTTGGAACTGAACTTTCTAACGTATGACCATCTCTCTGTTTAACCTTTGAAGCATATATCTGTGCTTCATTTTGCATAAACCAACTTTCTGGAAACAGTTGCAATTTTGCCAGCTTAAACCAAAACCTAGCATTTCTGGTTTGTCAAAGATTACCAAAGACTTTTAGCAGTAACAAGAAATGTGTGTTATAATTCAGTGTTTGAGGTCTGCTAAGCATGATGCAATACAATCACATTGTAGAAAGCTAAAAGTATTCACCCTCTGAAAATCAAGCCCCTTTAGGGTGTCTCAAGATCAGCACCTACAATCACTAGTCACTTTGGAAAATTTAGGTTATTTTTAAAGCCATGCGGTAAAGGCATTAAGCATAATAAAAATATAGAGAGTCAACATTCTTCCTAGTACAAGGATTTCCCAAGAATAACTATTAAATATGGTCAAAAATGCTCTGTTGGAAAATTCTTCATTTTTCCATCAGAAAATGCTGATTCAACTACATCAAAATGTTTAGCGGGCAAGTATCTATTTTGACCAAAAATAGATACTTATTGAAATAGTTTGTTTTGATAAGGTTGGAATGTTCCATTTCTACTTTATCATTTTGACATTATCATTCTGAATGTTATATTACATTTTACTTTACGATATCATATAAGAGTGGAAACAATAAAAGTCAAAATGAAACATTTGGACCCTACTGAAACAAAATATTTTTACCTTTATAGAAATGAAATGTTTTGATAAAAGTAAAAACGATTTTTTCCATTATTTTATTCTGTGAAAAAAATTATAGTTATCAAGTTTGTATCTTGAATTGGGACAAAAGAAAATTTCAAAATCTCATAAATTCCCATGAGACAGAAATGCTGTTTCTTGACCAACTCTAATAACTGTCTTATGAACAAGTTGAAATCTAAATATCTATGCCGAGGAGAGTTTTTTTTTTAAACAGTACATCTTTGTTTAATTTTTCCACAAAATGTCAATTGCAATCTAATCTCTTTCATGAACTCCAAATTTGCAGATGCAATTTTTAAAGGAAAATGAAAATAAAATAAATCTCTTAAAAGGAAGTTTTGCCTTTTATTTAAAATACTGCATGTATGATTTTGTCTCATGAAAAATACTAGATGGACAGTTATGAAATCTTTGGTTATTCACTATTATTATTACTAATTATTTTTAAATATTTACTTTGAGCAATATACTTAAAAGTCGCTTTACAGAACATCATAGAACAAGCAGAACATAAACTTAAAACAAAAACTCCTGAACTTTCCACAACTATCCAGAAAAACTAATAATTCATTATTAAGGTTATTAGCAATATGAGAATTGGAAACTGCCCTAATTACCCTGGCTCCAATTTGGTAATTGTGGTTTGGAGAAAAACCTGCCAACATCAGAGAGACGACTTCAAGCTAATGAACATAACAGGGTGTCACGGTTTGTAGGGCTTTACACGGTATTAGTACAGGACTGTCATCAGTACAACATTTATAGTCTATTGAATGCTACATTTTGGGACAGCATAAATGGAGTTTTGATAAAGAGAAGCAAGAGGAGTTTTGGAATCTGAGCAGGGCAGATAGACACTGTAGCTCTAAGCATCACATTTTTTAAATAAATGCTTTTCTTTTAAGAAGATCCTGCAATGATTATGGTAGCTTGGTTCTGCAGAAAGCCCTTGAGGTCAAAGGTACAATATGTTAAGCACTATGGCGACTCTGATCAGGCCTCAGGTACCAAAGTGGTGTTTTATCTGTGTTCTAGATCAAGTTTTACAGAGTAGTATTTCAAACAATTTCACACAAATTGAATTGGGCTTCTCTTTTAGGATCAATGGGCTCTGGTGAGTAACTCAGTTTAGAAGATAAGATTACTGTTATTAATTCACTTTACTGACAGATGTACCTAGACTGTGCCAAATAATCCCCCACATCAGATATTCAGGATACGCTTTAAATGGATACATTGGAACCTGTTTTTTTCACAGACATAGTTTCAGGCATTCCAATATAATTTTGTTTCCACTGTGGAGTAGCTAGGGGATAGTCCTTGTTACAGTGACAATGAGAAAGAAACTGCTTGGACGAAGATTTCACCCACAGGAAAGGAAAATATGACCATGCTGGATGGCCTGCTAATTATCCTGGGGTTAACTAGCACCAGTTATGTCAATACCAAAAAACGTTCCCATTTTACTGAAGTTCTTCAGCCTGATTTCTACAATGCTAATGGCTATATATAATCTGATGGCACAGAACTGCAGAGAAATCCAGTCACACCATTCAGGGCTAAATCATGGCTTTGTCACAAGTCCTGCTCAAAAAGCCATAAATTAGATTGTAATGTGAGTCCACAATCTGATTCCTGGTTCCTTCTTTGCTCTGGGGATGGAGGCAGAGGTGTCATGCCTGGTACCAGTCCCACCATGGTGCTGATTCTTAACCCCAGTATGCTGGCTTAGCTGTGCTCTCTGGCATGATGAGGGAGAGCCTTGGTTGCCCATCTATTCCCTATCTGCCTGGAAGTGAGAGTAGTAGCTCCACAGAAGGTTTTCTTTCCCCATATTACTAACCACATTCTAGCGAGTGCAGATGAGCAAGTGGGCACCTTACACCCCTTTACTCCCCTGTACCTCCCTCATTTACTGTCCCTGTGGAGCAGCAGTTATCTTAGTCTGACAAACATAATATTGCAGAAAATAATAGCAATTCTTTACATTAGCAATACTTTACATTTACAGGGCTGCATTTTCAGTTCTGTTTTGGCAGGTGCATATTTTTGCTCACAAATAGCTGCATTACCTGTCTAACCACTGCACCTGTTTTCACCTAGAAATCTGAAATTTGCATCTGTAGTGAACAGTAGGGAGGAAATTGGTCCCCCCAAAATGGAAGTCAAGTTGAGGTCAGGTTTAAAACCAGACCCTCAGTATACAAGACCTCTCCTGAGGATCTCAAAGGGTTTTTCAAAAGTTAATTCAGCAAGTCTCGGAATATCCCTCTCTGATTGGCAGTTGTATATCCACTTCACAAAGAGGTAAACTGAAACACTGAGAGATTAAAGGCTTGCTCATGTACCACCAAATTCAATGAGTTTTACATTCACGTCAGCGAGATCAGGACCGAGTCATAAATGACTTGCTGAACGGCATATCTAGTGTGGCCTAATAGGCAGAGCAGTGATTGGGAACTCAGAAGACTTGGGTTCTATTCCTGATTTAGTCTCTAAACTGCTGAGTGACTGTAGGCAAATTATTTCATTTCTCGGTGCCTCAGTTTTCCCATCAGTAAAATTGGGATAATGATGATTTCTGCCTTTGTAAAGCCGTTTGAGGCCTACAGATGAAAAGTGCTATATAGGAGCCATCTTATCATTGCATGATGGGCATACATTATCCAATTTTCCTTATGTGACGGAAATATTTGTGGCACATAAAAGCAGATTTAAATATTATCCAGGGTTTTAAACAATAACCCACCGCACAAGCATGTCATAATTCTGTTCACAATTTCAAAGAGCTGGAGCACTTTCTTTATGGCTGCATTTTCTGCAGTAAATGTTTGGTACACATGCAATATGTTTAGTATACAAAGCTTCAGCACAGGTCTCAGTTTACTCATGATTTATGTTAGGCATCAACATGAAGAGAGCCTTGAGATTTATTGCTTTGGAATCTGACCCCCAGCTATGGAGCTGTAGATTTGTAACTGGTGCCATTCAGAAACAGTATTCTTATGAGAAAGAAAGAGAAACAGACAGACAGAGAACCGGTTCATTTTTTAGAGCACTGCAGTGGGAAAGTTCTTTGGGTTCTTTGATTTAACTTCTTGAGGCTAGTAATAAAGTCACTATATTCAATACAAGTTTGAAACACTAGTCAATCTGGTGGGAAATCATAAAAGATGAAAGGCCAGCTCTTCAGATGGTGCTAATCAATGTAGTTCCATGATGTCAATCAGGGCCGGCTCCAGGGTTTTGGCCGCCCCAAGCAGCCAAAACAAAAAACAAAACAAAACAAAAAGCTGCGATCGCGATTGCGATCTGCTGCGGCAATTCGGCGGGAGGTCCTTCGCTCCCAGGCGGAGTGAGGGACCGTCCGCCGAATTGCCGCCAAATACCTGGACATGCCGCCCCTCTCTGGAGCGGCCGCCCCAAGCACCTGCTTGACAAGCTGGTGCCTGGAGCCAGCCCTGATGTCAATGGAGAAACAGGGCTGAGTGGCTGGCCCTTGGTGCTTTCATGTAGAACTTTTAGCAGTAGTAAAAATTGCTTTATTTACAAGAAAATCCCCCCCTTTTGCCTGCTGGAAGAAAGATATAAAGCCCAAGCCATAAGATAGTACAAACACTTTACCAGCGGCATTGTGCTTTAGCATAACTTTTTGTCCTTCCTAGGACCTCTTATAGATATCAAAAAACCTGGTGTGTTGAGGGTAATGAAGCATTCTTCTGGCTGGTGGCCAGTTTAGATTAGCACAGTGCAAAATATGTTGAAAGAGGACACAAGAAATATCCCACAACTCAGATAAATACTGCTCGCTTTACTCATGTGACTAGTTCCTATGATGTGAACTAAAAACAAAATTATAATTACCAGTGGGAAGATGCCTCTAATAAAAAAAAAAAAAAAACTCTCAATAACCAGGGTCTGTTCCTACTCCAACTGAAGTCAAAGGCAAAACATCCACTGATGTCAAGTCCTACTCAAACGACATGTAACCCTTAAGTAACAAAAAAGAAAAGAAAAAATGTGTTGAGCCTTGCCCTAAAGAATTCCACAGATGTTCTCTATAGTACACAAAAATAAGCTTGCTTGCTACCAGTAATGAAAACCACTAATCTACTCTACTTCTCCATACTCCATGTGAGAACATCAGATGTAGCATGAAAGCTTCTTACCTGTTCCAATGAACATGACATCATACTGCCCATCTTCTGCATCGACCCGGTCTACTACTATCTGTGTGAACTGGTAATCCACATCTGTTTTGATCATGATTGGACGATTATTGATAGGAAATACAGGGTTGTACATTGCTGGATGACTTCTTGCAAATGTGATGACTTCATCAGGAAGGTCCTTGGTAGAGTCAAAGCCTCCAAATGTTTTACTGGGACACTGAGAACAAGAAAGAGAATATTTTGCACCTTATAACTGAGCAATTAGATATATTAGTTTCTTTGAGCTCCATGTGAGTCTTCAGTCTATAATAAAGCACAACCCAGGATATAATTGTTCCATGATGGACAATAACTGTACAGAGAGTTAATACTGGCATCAAAAGTCTTTGGAGAAATATTTTTCTTCATTGAAATCAATATAGCTCATACTATAGAATATTACGGTTTGTATACATTATCTTTCTTATCACTGTGCTGTGCGAATAATTGATTGTCAGTAATTTACTGACTACTATTATCTTCTTAATTGGCTGTACAAGACCATAGAGATGCTGAATATGCTAAAAATTACCGTACAAAAGACACAGATTAAAGCATTCAGTTATCTATACAGTAGAAAACTAATTATCCGTAACAATCACCCCACTATCTAAGCATCTTCTTCTGGGACTCAAGTCAAAACTCATTCACTTCAAAGGACCTTGGATTAGGCTCCTAATGAGCTGCCAGTGTGACTCCCTGTTCTGTTTACCCCTGATTATCTAAACTGCTGATTATCTGGACATATCTGGCGTCATCCAAATGGTTCTGACGATGAGGCTCCTGTTGTGTTGAATTATTCGTATAAATTTTCTAGCGTGGGTGGTGAATAAAGTGCTTGTAGTAAGTTCAGGTTAGTTGCCTCAATGTCCACTTGTAGTGAGCAGTACAATGACAGAGGGGAGCAATACTTTCCATATAGGACTAGGCTGTCGCTAGGCCTCACACAGCAGCACAGGGGAGTAAAGTTTCCATGTTTCACCTCATGTGGTCATGTTAGGACTAACCAGTCTTGGCTCTGGGTCCTATGCAATGCACAGGGGCTACACAGACACTGCTCCCTCCACCCATGAGTAAGTGGGTGAAGATGAGGAAAAGACTGAGGAGGACAGCAGGCAAAGCCATGACTCATTCCCCCCACAAGCATTCCCCTCTGCTTTCCCCACCCACAATTCCTCCTGAGGGAAGTGCACTTATGCATCAGGTCTGTGGCTACACGCTAAAGACTAGCCCTTATCTAATGAATTCTCTACAAAAACTCAAAATATTTTATGAACATCAGAGATTTTGACCTAACAACATCTGTCTGTAAAGTGGGGAATTATTATTAGCCCCATTTTACAGATGAGGAGACTGAGGCACAAGGAACTTAAATGACTTGTCCTAGGTCTCACAGGAATTTTGAGAAGCCAACTTCAGGTGCCTGACCCTAACCTCTTAAACACAAGACATCCATCTCAGATATACAAAGCTATGAGGCAAATTTCACTATGCTTATGATTATGTTCACCGCATTTGATCTTGAAATATAAACGCCCCAGTGATATAAAGCCTGGGGTAATGCATCTTTA